CGGTAATTAACATGTTACTTACGTTAGTGTATGTTTCTAGTGACACAATGAAGAAACCTCTGCCTGTTAAGCAACAAGGTACGCTGGACCTCATGATAACGAGAGTCAAATCCTTCTGCATCATCCTTCCGCTTGCAGTCATTGATAACAATGGCCAAGGTGCTTTGTACGCTGCAATAGCTACACTCATACTTTCGCGTATGATACAGTCGCAACTGTAAGTGAACATGAGTAACTGGCATAAGCATGCTCCTATGTGAAAGCTGAAAATCAAACGTGTCCTTGTAGGTGCGCCTGCCTGCAAGAAGTAATATTATTTGTTAATGGATTTAGTTGAAGTATGAAATTCGTATGAAAAGTTAAAGTACATGACATAGGAAAAATTTTTAGTATATGTCATTATATATAAATAAAGAAAAATTTCTCCCATGAAATATGTATTATTAAAATTTTTAAAAACAGACCGTCGTAAATCGATAAAATTTCCATGAAAAATTACGAATTAATCACTCTAATCACACTGGTAGTTCTATGGAAAATTACGAATGACTCACTTTATCTGTTAGAGTAAATATTTAAACTGTGGATATATTTGCAGAAAATTTTAAGATGCAAGATTGTTCATAATATGAAAAATATACAATATATATTCATGAATAATAAAAGTAGCTGTAAAAGATGTTGGTATAAAATGAATCATAACAAATTTATAGGTCAGATCTTTGTATTGATTATAATTCATACTAGCATGCTGTACTAACCAGAAGAACTTGATATCCATCGAGGCAGATTAACAAACTGAACATCAGTACTTGCTCTAGAATGATCCAATTGAATACCTCTTCTAATTTCTCGCAATACGCTATGAGTGTTTGGTGCTGTCGAATATATTTCTTAAAAATGGTATAATATTCGTCTGCAAAACACGTTGATTCCTTGTATGATACTTCGTTCCTCCTTTGTTTCCCTTTGTTCATTAAATCCGGCATATTTGTGATTCTATATTGCAATATTTGAAACTGACCAGCCACGTGTAGATTTATTATGCACAAGAAGTTATCGAAGCAAAAGTAACTTATTCCAATATGATATAAAGACAAAACCTGTGAATGTTAATTAAAACAGTATTATTAAATAGTTTGGAATTGTGATAATACGAACCACCCATATCCGAATATTCTAATGTTCAAATTTTGTTACACTGCTTTTCCCTGTACTAAATTATTTTACAGTGACTCCCAATATTATAATATTTGGACATTTAAATATTGATACTTTGTAAAAAGGAATTTTGTAAAAAGAAATTGTACAATAATAGTTTTGGAACCTCTTTTAAAAGACATCGTTCATTTTACTTTAAATAAATTTTAATCATTTTACTTTAATTTGAAACACAACAAGAATGTTCTTAACTATACCAAGGGAAATTAAGTATTTCAATAATGAAAAGATATAACATTCTTAAATGTCAGAAGTGGCTGTTCTATTATTTGAAAATTCCATTAACCGAGCACTTTTTGCGCTTCTATTAGTTCTAACGTGGAAGACTCTGTTGTAAAAAAATTATGAAATGACAATACCTGTATAACGAATGTTATTTCATAGTAGGGCGTTGTAGTCAGTGGCAAGTCCACCCACATGTTGAACGGAAGTACTCTGTCTGACTCATTTTTTCCAATATTTGCTGAAACAGACGTTTGAAAAATTTGTTTTTAAATAAATATTTAATAACGTGATAATTTCTAGTAATTTTTCATGAGAAAAACAATAAAAGTTTACGTTGGTACAAAAAAAAAAAAAAGTGATAGAATTAAATTCAAGGATTTGCAAATTGCGTCATATTTTTACTAGTCTTGACTTACCGATAAGTGGATTAACAATATAAGAAGCAACAGTGGCCAAAGTGAAAAATGTAAGAAAATAAATAAAAAATGTACATTTTCGTTTAAAACCGATCACAATTTGTCTTTCGTAGCTGTCGTAATCTGAGTGCAAAAATTTTCGCTGCAGGTACAAAATTAAACGAAAAAAATCCTCTTTGTGAGCGAGTAGAACGAGTATCTTGATAAACGGCATCAATGACGACAACATATTGCATGCAGTAAAAAGACACGCCTATGAACAGTCAATGTATTCATTTACATAAGAGTTTAGCGACAATGTTATCTCAGGACAATAAAATGCCTATCATTCCTAGTAGATATATTCATTTACAAAATATATATATACAAAACCATTCAAGCCGTTGTGTATGTTGTGTATAATTTGAATTTACTCGCGATAATTTATCTATGTAATACAAGTCGTAGATTTCAGAATTAATTATCAGTGGCCTTACACTAAAGTCGCCCCACGAGTAATACATGTCCATGAATTGCACCCATATAGCGAAGAGGATCGCGATCAACGTGTAACCCACTGTAATGTCTCTAACGCGTTGCTCGGATCGGTTACCCGCCATCCATAATCCCACGAGTTTCATAAAAATGGAAGTCAAACTGATAGATTTGTCGTCGTTCTTGTCGGAGCTCATATCGCATTGGCTAACAACTAGCCAGTACGTTCGAATATTGAACTCTCGTACACGTACAGAACTATTGATTGTTATAATGCGATGTTATTAATGTTATAATACGATCGATCGCTTTGATCTATTCACATCGTTTATTAAATGATCGCGCCCTTTATATTTATTTCTTATTGCCATTCATGCATGGTTATTTATTAGAACGATAATAGAACGATGGAAAATAGTGGAGGAGAAGATAGCAGAATGCTTATTGAAGGTAGACGAGGATTATTATTCCTCATTTGGCGAGAAACGTATAGATCGGATCGATGCGTTATGCATGATTGATTGGAAATCAAGGTACGGTCAACAACTGCGTCGCTTTGTAGATGAAAAATTTTATAAAATGCCCCTATTAAATCGTTACATGCCATTTAAGAAAGTTATAATTTATTTTCTTCTCAGCGGAAGCGATATATTTATCAATGAATTGAAATTGGCAGTGCTAGAGTGATTTGTGAAATGTGGTGAAAATGAATTGGAGGACATCTTAAAATAAAATGAATGATGCTTTTCAAAAATAGAGGCATCGAGCTTCCCTTATTCACAATCGTGTTCTTCGTATTAATTTTAGACTACCATTTATCGAAAGAAAAGGGAGGAAAAAGGGAATGAAATGATAAGGGGGAAAGGGAATATAACAGAACGCTCGATCACAGTCCCTAGATATTCTACTATACTTTATTATTTGGAAACCAGTATATTAAACGGACCGATAAATTATGCATGATTTCTGTGTTTGAAGAGACCTAGAATTAGTGTGTGAAATCAGACTACTGTCAACAGCTGTGCCGTTTTTGTTGCATGGGAAGTGTAGCATGTTAAATCTCGCATGTAGGATAAGAAACTCGTTTGTAAGTTCCTTTGTGTTTTTAGAAAAGGAAAAAGTGTAGATTCCATGGCGAAAGAAGATCTACTGACGTAGTGTATTTATATGTAATCTGATTCGTCTGCGATATGACTAATTGTAAGTTGAATTAATTAATTAATTGACGAGAGAAATTTACCTGTAAGTTGAAATATTGGACTTCATTGTGTTTTAATTGTTTGCGCTAATTAAAATATTGGAATAAATAATTAGTTGTTTATTAAAATAGCATATATTAATTACAGTAAGACCTCGATTGATTGAAGTTTTAATTATATAGAATTCCGGTTACTCGTTTTCTTATGTTTACTGACATATGTACGTCGGTTTATATACATTCATTTACATTTATATATTCAAATCTCTTTCATCAGTTGTTTTCTATCACTGTATAGAAAAAATTAAACAAACACATATACAAAGAAATTTTATATAGAAAAAAACATTTTTAGTTATTTCTCTTCGGATTTCGATTATTCGTTGAATTTCGATTTATTCGGACTGCTTATTCCTCCATTACACTGGTTAATCGAGATTCTACTGTATATTTATTTATTTAATTTAATTTATTTATAATTTATATTAAAATGTATTTAATTAATTTAAAAATAAGATTTTAATTAAGTAAGAAAAAAGCATTAAAACGAAAGATTAAATGTTTGATGATAAATTAAATGTTTAGTTTAACGATAGCAAAATGTCTGTGAATATTCTTATTAGAAAATATATGTATATTTTGTATATAAACATATGTATGTATACTTACATTTGAAAATATTATATATACATGCATTTATCGATAGAATATTAATAAAGTAAAATAAATTTTTTTTATTAAATGGCTTTCTTATATTGCTTTCTTTCTCTTTATATTATGAATTCAGTAATGACACATTGTATAATCATTATCTTTATTTTATGTGTAAGTTTGAAAGAATACTTAATAAATTTTAGTACGATTAGATTACGTACATCTTATGTAGATGTATCTAATGAAAGCTGATTAATTGATTTTATCAGTATAAAATTATATTCTTTTCTAATCAATTTAATTTATAGCATATAAACGTTTACACTATGTGTGTCACAATTAATATATATCACGAAACGGTACGTTGTTTTAATAATGTAAAGTATGATGCTGCTGTACTTAAAACCTGCAAAAGACGATATGGATGAGCAATTTTGCCTCATGATATTTTTCATGAAACGCAAAATGATAGATTTTAAAGTGTCTTCAAAGTTTGAACGTTATTGTCATGTAATTTTATGCAACAACTGGATAATAATTTAATTAAATCATAACCATTTCAATTCTGGGATATAGTAGATGAAAGTGTTTGCGTAAAATATACTTTAAAATTCCACAGGATGGAATTTTTATATTACTTTTGGTCTAATATTATTGAACATTTTTTACAACGATGAAATAATCAGAGACGTATTTTTTTAATCATGAAAAACGCGTTTGAAATTTGGACACTCGTGATTTTCTTCGTTCTGATTTGCCAAAAGTGTCTATCTATTATTTTTCTATAAATACATCTACGTACACCTTTATTTGTCTTATTTATTTACTGGTGATACGAATTTATCGGAAGCTGGCAATACCATAAATACTGACATATTTATTCCAAATTGTCAATAGCAAGGAAACATATNTATCCTTACGTTTTATCAACAAAAAATTTTCAAACTATTTAAGAACACATTTTTAGCACATTTACATATTTAACTTTATTGGCCAAAAGTCAGATCGAATGAGTTAAATTTAGATAAAATCCTTCAGTAATCGTGATCTAGTGATTAGGGATTTCAGTAGCGGTAATTAACATGTTACTTACGTTAGTGTATGTTTCTAGTGACACAATGAAGAAACCTCTGCCTGTTAAGCAACAAGGTATGCTGGATCTCATGATAACGAGAGTCAAATCCTTCCGCATCATTCTTCCGCTTGTAGTCATTGACAAGAGTGGCCAAGGTGCTTTATACGCTGCAGTGGCTACGCTCATACTTTCGCGCATGATACAGTCGCAACTGTAAGTGAACATCAGTAATTGGCATAAACATCCTGTTATGTGAAAGGTGAAGATTAAACGTGTCCTTGTAGGTGCGTCTGCCTGCAAGAAGTAATATTATTTATAATGCATCCGGTTGAAATATGAAATTCGTGTGAAAATATTAAAGTACATACAATAAAGCACAAGAAAAATTTGTAACATATATCTTTACTTATATCTTTCATGAGAATAAATTTTACTTATATATTTCGTTAAAATCTCTAAAAATAGACCGTTAGAAATCGACACGGTAAGGATTATATAGATTATAAGAATGATAGTTATATATACAATAATTATTAGTAAAGAAGCGAGTAAAATCGTGAACAATAACAGTAACCGTTAAAGATGTTGGTATAAAATGAATCATAATAAATTTCGAAATTGAAAACTTATAGTTCAGATCTTTGCATTCATTATAATTCATACTAGCGTGCTGTACTAACCAGAAGAACTTGATATCCATCGAGGCAGATTAACAAACTGAACATCAGTACTTGCTCTAGAATGATCCAATTGAATACCTCTTCTAATTTCTCGCAATACGCTATGAGTATTTGGTGTTGTCGAATATATTTCTTAAAAATGGTATAACAATCGTCTGCAAAACTTGTCGATTCCTTGTATGATACTTCGTTCTTCCTTTGTTTCCCTTTGTACATTAAATCCGGCATATTTGTGATTCTATATTGCAATATTTGAAACTGACCAGCTACGTGTAGATTTATAATGCACAAGAAGTTATCGAAGCAAAAGTAACTTATTCCAATATGATATAAAGACAAAACCTGTGAATGTTAATTAAAACAGTATTATTAAATAATAGTTTGGAATTGTGATAATACGCTTTAAACCACCCATATCCGAACAACTATTATCCGAATATTCTAATGTTCAAACTTTGTTACACTGCTTTTCCTTATACAAAATTATTTTAAAATATTTTACAGTGACTCCCAATATTATAATATTCGGACATTTAAATATCGAAACTTTGTAAAAAGAAATTTTGTAAAAAGAAATCGTACAATAATAGTTTAGGAACCTCTACTTTTAAAAGAATCGTTCATTTTACCTTAAATATAATTTGAAACACAACAAGAACTGTACTTACCTATACCAAGAAAATTAGGTATTTCAATAACGAAAAAGATATAACATTTTTAAATGTCAGAAAACTAGTTGTTCTATTATTTTTTGCCCTTCTGTTAGTTCAGATGTGGGAGACTCTGTTGTAATAAAATTATGAAATGACAATACCTGTAGAACGAATATTATTTCATAGTATGGCGTTGTAGTCAGTGGCAAGTCCACCCACATGTTGAACGGAAGTACTCTGTCTGACTCATTTTTTCCAATATTTGCTGAAACAGATGTTTGAATAACTTGTTTTTAAGTAAATATTTAATAATGTGGTAATTTCCATGAGAGAAACAGTAAAAGTTTACGTTGGTACAAAAAAAAAAGTGATAACAGAATTAAATTCAAGGAAATGCGTCATATTTTTACTAGTCTTAACTTACCGATAAGTGGATTAACAATATAAGAAACAACAGTGGCCAAAGTGAAAAGTGTGAAGAAATAAATAAAAAATGTACATTTTCGTTTAAAACCGATCACAATTTGTCTTTCGTAGCTGTCGTAATCTGCGTGCAAAAATTTTCGCTGTAGGTACAAAATTAAACGAAAAAAATCCTCTTTGTGAGCGAGCAGAACGAGTATCTTGATAAACGGCATCGTTAACGACAACATATTGCATGCAGTAAAAAGACAGGCCTATGAACAGTCAATGTATTCATTTACATAAGACTTTAGCGACAATGTTATTTCAGGACAATAAAATGCCTATCATTCCTAGTAGATATATTCATTTACAAAATATATATATACAACACCATTCAAGCCGTTGTGTACGTTGTGTATAATTTGAATTTACTCGCGATAATTTATCTATATAATACAAGTCGTAGATTTCAGAATTAATTATCAGTGGCCTTACACTAAAGTCGCCCCACGAGTAATACATGTCCGTGAATTGCACCCATATAGCGAAGAGGATCGCGATCAACGTGTAACCCACTGTAATATCTCTAACGCGTTGCTCGGATCGGTTACTCGCCATCCATAATCCCACGAGTTTCATAAAAATGGAAGTCAAACTGATAGATTTGTCGTCGTTCTTGTCGGAGCTCATATCGCATTGGCTAACAACTAGCCAGTACGTTCGAATATTGAATTCTCGTACACGTACAGAACTATTGATTGTTATAATGCGATGTTATTAATGTTATAATACAATCGATCGCTTTGATCTATTCGCATTCTTTATTAAATGATCGCGCCCTTTATATTTATTTCTTATTGCCATTCATGCACGGTTATTTATTAAAACGATAATAGAAGGATGGGAAATAGTGGAAGAGAAGATAGCAGAATGCTTATTGAAGGTAGACGAGGATTATTATTCCTCATTTGGCGAGAAACGTATAGATCGGGTCGATACGTTATTGACGGGAAATCAAGGTATGGTCAACAGCTGCGTCGCTTTGTAAATGGAACATTTTATAAAATGCCCCTGCTAAATCGTTAAATGCCATTTAAGAAAATTATAATTTATTTTCTCTTTGGCGGAAGCGAAATGTTTGTCGGTGAACTGAAATTGGCAGTGCTAGAGTGATCTGTGAACTGTGGTGAAATTGATTTGGAAGACGATTCTTCTCCTATTCTACAATACTTTGCAACTTAACAATATTTTTCGTTCATATCACGTGTTTATTGGTAGAGTACGTTAGTAATTCTAACGATGTATATGTGTCTGCAATTCTGTACAAAAGACGAATTTTATTTTTCTTTTTTCCTTCTTTCTTTTTCTATAACTTAATCTACACATATAATTTTCTATGACAAATCAATTGGAATCTTTTGTTATCCATTATGTTTTATCTGTTATTTCCACATGGTTTCTTAACAATGTGAAATACGATACTGCGGTACTCAAAATCTGTAAAACATACATATACAGGAAGACAATAATGGTGGTGTTCACATCAAACGAACGAATGTTTAATCTGCGACTAAATTTGTTCCCGTATTTATATCGTTCACAGACTCTTTTTATTGTCAACCCGAAATGTGTGTGTCGGTATATCGAAAACGGTTAGGACCGATTTGATATGTATACTTTCATGAATTTTATGAAGAACATTTGAACGTATAGTGACTCTTATCAATATTTGTGGACACTAAATATTACAATTAAACTGTTATAAGTTTGCAGAAAAAATTGTACAACGATAAATAAACTTTATTTTAAAACTTGAAACCTTCGTTTTGAAAAATGCATCTAAAGCCGAAATATCGGCTCGTTGGCAGTAAAAGGATTAAAGACTGTTATAATAAGGATAAATAAAACGAGCGTGGATTTGTCGCAACATTCGTTTGTTTGGCGTAAACGCACAATAATATATATATATATGTATTGCATTTGTTTCGTGTATTATACCGACTGTAGTGTAAGTTTCCAGCGACACAGGGAAAAATCCGTATGCGGTTAGACAGCAGACTCGCCTAGAGCGCTTTATTGTCATTACGATATCATTTCGAAGCATCTTCCCATATTCGTTCATTGGCATAATCGTCCACATAGCTGAGTACGATCCAATGGCAACGTTATCGCTATGTTCTATCACGCCGTCACAGCTATAGGTAAACATAAACAATAACGACATCGCACCGAGTAAAAGAAAAATGAAAACGGCACGTCGTGCGGCGCTGGCTTTGGCCTAAGAGAAAACATATTTTTATCGAAATATTTTTATCAAATATATTTTTATAACGGTATGTTATGCAATATACTATAATTAAAATTTCTCAATCAAGTAATTAAAATGCACTTGATAGAATGTTACAGAAAAATCAATTGTTGACATTTCGTTTTCGAATCGGTGTGTGAACATTCGTAATAAAAGTGTTTGCAATATGTCAAATACTAACCAACAACACTTGATAACCAAACAGGCAAATTAACATACTAAATACTAACACTTGTCCAAGTATAATCATCGTGTACACGTTTTCTAGCGTTTTGTAATAATTGATCAATGCCTGATGGTGTCGTACGTATTTTTTAAATGTATCGTAGATCATGTATGCGTGCTTTGTCAGCATTGATTCCTCATCTTTTTCGGTTATCTGATATTCTGTGTCGCACATTTTTAAAAATCTGTATCGAAGTATGCGAAATTGACCAGTTAAGTGTATGGCCATTATGCAGAAAATATTGTCAAAGCAAAAATAACAGACTCCTATGTAGAGAAAGGTTATAATCTGTAAGAAATAAAGATTATTTCTGTATATATTACATCTTTTAATTTCTGTCTATAATTCTAAATCAATTTCTATTAAAAATTATTTTTGTTTGTCGAAAATTCAATATACGTCCCTCGATTTACGCGGATTATTCTCTACATGCGGAAGAAAAAGAAGAAAAAAAAGGAATCCACCAGAATGAAATATTAGAAAAAGCTAATATAAGTTATAAAAAGATTTATCTCACATATTTTCACAAAACAATCAATGAAAATTGTATGTTGGTAAGTATTCTTGGTATTTTGCTGAATCAGGAAATTTTAGAAAGAATAATTACCAATAATGGAAGAGAAGAAAAAGGACCTCGTAAAATGAGATCGTGTAAATTGAATAACAAAATAGCGTAAATAGAGAGTACTTATTATTCGCGTAAAAGAAATACTGCGTAAATCAAGGAACGAGTGTATTTGAATGTACAGGATATGCTACAGGATATGTTTAAATGTGAATGGTAGAATGACTCATTCAATTACTATTACTTGTAGCCCGCCCTGTATAATACAACATAATTTCAATATATTCATATCGTATATAGTAATGGAATGAAGCGTCCTACTATTGTCTATCTATATCATTTACTAGTAAAAGTAAAAACATTTGAAATACCTGGAACAAAAATAATAGTTCGTAATAAGGCGATACCATTGGGAAATTTAGCCACATATTAAATGGAAGTATTCTTTCGGATTCATTGTTTCCAATCTGTGCTGCAATAAACGCGTAGATGACGCTTTATTTTGCGTATATTACGCGTGCAAAGCACACTTTGCGTGAAAAAATTTTTATTTCTTTCATATTATAATCTACCGGTGAATGGTGTACTGAGATAAGCTATTATAGCACAAATACCAATGGCGGTAACGGAGGAGACGAAAAACGCGCAAATCTTTTTACAGTTGTCCAGAATTTCTTTCTCGTGAATATCGTATTTGACATTCCAGAAATTTTCTTGCATGTACACAATCAGATTTATGAATTCTTTCTTATGCATCACTATAATGGATACTTTCATTAAGATTATTATTACACTCAGAGTGTTGGTAAGAGTATAAAGTACGTCCTGAAATCAATTACTGTGAGATAAGTAATAAGTATTGTAGATAGTATTGTATTATAGCTGACGAATAATGCAATAAGATTTACTGCAAAAGTGTCATTGATTGGACATGTTTCAAAATGTCGATTCTAAACGAATAATAAAAGTGAAGAGCATAACTGTACCAATGATAAATGAAAAATTGTTGATAATTTAAACCGATATAACATTGTAAAAAATATTGTAAAAGAAAAAGATCTTGTAACGATCCACTTGGTTTCGCTTCAAAATGAATTCTGAGATGAATCACTGTAACAAGTAGTTCTACAAGTTAATTGCATTACTGTAAATTATATTGCATTGTGTTATAGATGGCAAATAATTTAAAACAATATGGTTTATTAAATAATATTAATTAAACATATTAAAAATTTCCAAATTATTGATTGCAAACGAATAATTAATCGATTAGTTTATAGCAAAAGTGGCATTATTAATTTATAATGAAATGATAATTATTTCAAATTAACTATTAACCTAGGAATTTTGATAAAACTTCATGAATTCTCATTTCTAAAATGCCGGCGTTGTACTAGAGTCAGTTATTTCTATTAACTACATTCGTTATAAGTATAAAATTGTGAATACACTCACGCCATTATAGAGCCAAGTAAAATATAGATCTCTGCTAGAAATGAGTACGCCACACACTGAGTTCCAAACCGTATAGATAAGTATCAATTTCATCTGAGGCTCTTTCGCGTGATTATCATCTACCCATAAGCCAATGTTCTTCAAAAAAAAAGAAGACAAATTTATAGATATATCCGACTTTCGTTTCGTTTGCATGACGACTCTCGAGCGTCTACTAAACTCTCCCTTATGTACGACCGGTAACGGTAATTGCTATCCTTTATCGATTCCTTGTTTCCGTTCGTATCTTTCTACCTGCTATTAATTTTTTCTCTACACACTATTACACATGGTGTGAATTGAAGGGATGATTACAATGTTTCAGTGGGGAACAAAGAAATAAAAAGCATGTTGGATAATTTGATTGGCAATGGACGTTCGTTGCATTATTCTTTCATACGATCATTACGTCCTGGATTAAAATTGACTTTTCAAACCTTCATTATAAAGTCAGATATACATACGTATGTATATACAAGTGTATTAGACATTTTCCGTCCTTACACAGTATATCCTCTTAAACAGTATATCCTTGAATGGTTTCGTTGAGGTGAAATCGGAATTTTTTAATGTTGTACCTGTGATTATTTTAAACAATACTTGTTTACATTGTTATCATAATTTTTGCGTAATGATTCAATCTATTTTATATTTGTATTATGTACTTTTATTATACATAGAATATAATGTATTGGTAACAAAAATCCAAAGAAAAAGTTGTACGTTTTAAAATGTAACCAAACATCGATCCGATAAAATGATAACATAGTGTTTAAATTTTCTTCCTTGTAGCTGAATCATCAAACTATTTAGAGTGAGTAATACAATATTCAATGTTTATTTTTTCTTGTGCGTTTAACATTATTTTGTTGGACATTATATATGTCATGAGGGAAGATATACATACCCTAAAAGCACGTTTTTATGCAAAATCATAATAATTCTTTGAATGTGTGTTGTCATTTTGTTACAACGATATTCTGTTATTTTTCTTATTTTTTACAAATTGATTATGTAAATGCCCCGTCCAAAACTGGTTTTACTACTTTACGAAACCGACAATTGTTCTTTCAGCAAAGAAAGTGAAAGTGCAAACGAGAAACGTATATACGAATATTTGAAATCATTTGCTAATGTAAGTCATAATTCATAGTATCGTTAAATTTTAGTATCTGTGATAAATTATGTTGCTTACAAAAGGAAATTAAATTTTAATAATTAGTCAAATTATTATTATAATATTGTTGATATTTACCTGTTAATATAATAATATTTACTATAATATTATAAAAATATTATTATTAATTTAAATATTAATAATCAATTAATATTTAAAATAGTAAAGTTTTATGTAATATTTGCAGGATTGGAGTACCTGGTATTGAAACCACAGAAAATTAGATTATCATTACGATGATAATTATGATTCGCTTGACTTGTGGAATTTTCATATTCTATATAAAATTTTCCTCCACGTAAAATCGTTTGAATAACTTTATTTTCATTGTTACTAAAACACAGTTTGTTTGTAAACAAACAATTAAAATATTTTTATCACGTAAATTTATGTATATATATCATACGATATGAATTATTTGTCTGTCATTCTCTCGTGGATGATTCTCTCATGAGCGTGAAATATGACACTGTGGAACTCATAAGCTGAAACAAGAAGTTTTAGTTTACTATCGTAAATTTTATCTCAAAATTTACTTATTATTTGTTATTAAAATGGTATTTAAAGAATAAACAGGACGTGGAATAAGCAGTAGATCACGTACCGCAGTAGATGTTTCCAAAGACACAGGGAAGAATCCAGCGGCGGACAGATAACACGGTCGGATCGACTTCATCATTATTATATTAATATCTTTTCGTATCATTCTACCAGTTTTGGTCATTGGCAGAATTGTCCACCAGCCTGAATACGTTGCCAAGCTAATGTTCACACTTTCCTCCATTAAGCAATGGCAACTGTAGGTGAAGATAATTATATGGATAAAGCTACCGATCATATGGAAAACGAAAATGAGTCGTGTCCCGATGGATACGTTTGCCTATATACATAATATTAAATAATTCTATAATAATATTATATAACGCTGCATAATACTAATGTAATATTATAACACTAGTACAATATTAATACAATATTGTAAAGATTTAAAATAATATTTGTTACGATTCAGGTTTGTGATTATAGAGCTTGTCATATTTTTGCAATAAGTATTAATCAATGAAATATTAACAAGATTTTACTTTATTATATGACGTATATAATACATCTATTGATTATGTGAAAAATGATGATGTATTTTTTAAACAAAGTAAAAGTTATATTAAAATATGCTTATCAACAGAAATTTGATTGCTGTTAATATTGTAAGAGGAAAAATATCGTCGGTTCTCTTCAAAATCCGCCGCGCCGTTCTCGAATGTGTCAAACAATGAAATTTGTGTTTAGTATGAATTATTTAGTATAATTTAGCATAAAAATCGCATCGAAATATTATTTAAAAAACGAACGAAACTGTTCACACATACCAGGAGTATCTCGTACGTATCAAAGCACATTAATAAGCTAAAGACTACCATGTGGCCGAAGATTGGCAACGTATAAACGTACTCGAGTTTGTCGCAGAATTCGATCAATGACTGATGCTTCCTGATGCATTTTTTCAACGCTGTGTAGCATCTTTCAGTGCAATCAGCCTTATTCGTTTGTTTATCGATGATCTTCCACAGATTTAACAACCTGTTCTGCAGCATGCGGAATTGGTAGATCACGTGCATGTTTAATATGCATAAGAAGTTATCATTGCACAAATAGGACACACCGATTTGTTCCACAACTATCACCTGTGTGAATAATGAGTTCCCATAATGAAATCATGATTATGCCTGCTGCGTTATCAGCTTCTCACGCGAACATTAACTTGCTAATTACTAGTCACTAATCACTGTTAAATATACTCGGAAATGGATAATGTCGCGTTTTATGGATGTAAATGGAGATGCACGATACCTGAATGGCAAACATTATTTCGTAATATGGTGTCACACTTAGCGGGAAATTGATCCACATTTTGAACGGAAGTATTCTATCCGATTTGTTTTTTCCGATGTTCGCTGAAAGGTAATGGAATATGGATTCTGAACTATTGATTAACTTGCACATATACTGCCGGTCTAAAGTTTAAGACCACTTGTATCAATTTAAAATTTATGCAAAGAAAAAAAAGAAAAAAAAATTTTAATAAACATAAATTGGACTAATCTTGATCTATTTGAATTATTACGAGAAAAACAAGTTACGGAAACATGCTCCAATTTTGCAAAAGTATTTAATGGAGATTTCACAACACTATTGAGATAATATATCATTTGAAAATTTAAATAAATTAATTGAAAGAATGCCTAAAATAATAACAGTTGCATTGGAAAATAAAGTATACATTATTGTTTACAAATGTTGTGTGTTTTCCTTTTCTTTTTTAAATTTTTGTATTTAATTAATGTCCATAGATATCAGTGTTTAAATATTATATATAGAAGTTTCTTAAATGAAATCATTTTCAGGAAATGGAAGTTTCTTTCTTAATGCATGTGGCTTTCTTAAACTTTTGTCGCAGTGTATTTGTTTTCTTCAAAACAAGAATTTATTCGATTGAGATTAACTGAAGTAATTGTTCCGGAAATTATAGAATTGTCTTACGTTTAATTGTTGATTTCTTGCAAAGATGGGGATTGTTTAATATACTTGCTTACCGCATATTGGTGTGATCAGATAAAAAGCCAAAGCGGCTTGCGTGACAGAACATGCCGTTATGGTCCATAGTTTGCAAAATTTTCGGCACTTCATGAAAAGTATTTTCTCCCTGTGATTGTACTTGAAATGCCAGAAATTCTGTTGCGCAAATAATACTAAATCCTTGAATTCCGTTCTGCGAATGTTTAATACCAAAACTTTGAACATCGCTAATATGATGCATAATGTATTACAGATTAGGAAAGTACAGTGCTGAAAAAGTAAAATTTATCATATTGCATATAAAAAAATTTGTTTCGTATTTTTCATTGCATTTTCATAATACAAATCTATTATATTTTACAAACTAAATTAGTATTTTGCTTAATTGTTTCGTTTGCAATTAAATTATTTATACATAAATGTAAATTTCAAATTGGTTTTCAGAAGTTTGATATTTTTGCTACGTTTTGACAGTTATGATTAACGAACTGATTTTATTAATTTTATTTTTCTATCAATTTTTAAATTTTATATTCTAAATTTTACATTCATTTCTAATAAATAGCTTCGTAAAATTTGTGTAAATTTTTGTATACGTGTTGTAGCTAAAATATATATTTCAATCGTTCTGAAACTCAGCAATGCAGATGTACTTAAAGTCATTTTGCAGAATTTTTAGTCACCTTATTATTTATAATATTAGTTATTGTATATGTTATGTATATAATTATATATGTTAAGACTAACTTAAAGAAATTCTTTTGAATTGTATCTTGCATTGGAATAATTTAAAAGTATCCAAATATTCAAGTATGGATATAAATTTTGATTTCAAGTGCATCTGACTTATGATCATAGAATAAATAGTATGACTTATGATCCTAGGATAAATAGTCTATTTCTATATAAAAACAATAAGTTTATAAAAATGATTGGTTTTCATACTCACGCCTAAATTGTTCCAGCTGTAGTAAACATCGCCGAGATTTAGATACAATCCGAAGATATGAATGACTAGAGTATATACCATGGCAAATATTCTTCGACGTTCTTCGGTGTTATTCATAGTCATCCAAATACCCGAGAGTTTCAAAAGAAACTGCGATAGTGCAATGGAGATATCCGAGTATTCTGCTGTATGCATGGCAATCCTTCTCCTCAATTTTGATTTTGAAATCAGGCGACAGCTACTAGACTTCAGCGAATGTGATTTGAAGTGACATTACTTTGATCTATCGAGACACTCGATCGTTTGTTAATGGATACGTGTCCTATCTAAAGTGAGCTCTTCCGCGTAAAATACAAATAGTATGGTGATGGGAACAAATATGAAAAGTATCACACATGTATTATATATACTTCGAAGGGGATGTGATTATCACATCCAGTATTGAATGGAGAACTAACAGTTGGTCATCGTATCGATTATTTTAGTCAGAGGAAAAATTATACTATGGTGAATGGTTATTCAGAGAATAAAACGTTCGTGTTACTTTCTGTGAATAATATTTAAGAAACAGTTGGATAATCTCTATTGTGTTCCATTGTGTTCAATTGTGCTATGGAATAATATTTATTATTTGGTGTCAAATATAACATGAAGATATATTTTTGAAATATAGTAAAAAATAGAAAAAGTTTAGTATAAGCAGATACATTTTATTTATTTATTTTTTTTAGAAACATATTAAATAAGATTATTTATAAAATTCTTGTGCTCATTGTTTCTTTATTTTAGAATATCAGTTTGCAACTTATCCAAGATATGTTAATTAAATACATTATATTTACCTGGATATCTCTTAATGTGATCGACTATTCAATGATACCTTAATCATAAAATTATTTTGGAATATTTTTAAATTATTATTAAATATCATTACCCATCCATTGTTTGAAGTAGGGTAAAATAGGATGCAGTTGTGCTCATCACCTGTAGATGTAACAAAAAACGTGTAAGTTGTTTTTAAAGTTAATCTAGTCTAAAGCACGCACTCACATTTGTAAACGACTTAAGAGAGATGGGAAAAAATTTTGCAGCTGTAAGGTAGCAAGGATATTTTGTTCGTATCATTACAATAATCATATCTTTCCTGAGTTTACTGAACATTATATAAGATGTCCTCTCCCAACTGCAACTGTATATCGCATTTCCTACGGAGCTGCTTTCTTCCATTATATCGTCACAAATCCGTGTTATCATATATACTTGTACGATACCACTGATAGCATAACTCAGGAACAGATATTTCTTCACTAATTCTTCGCTAGCCTTTAAAGTAAAAATTAAAAACATTAAATTGCAATTTTATTCAATAAGAATAATTGAAACATGATTATTCTTGGTTAAGAACATGAAATTATTTTAGTCTTTGCTTTAAGTGCAGATTGGCAACTGGAACATTACAATGACAGAAATGGAGAAAGGTTATAGGAAAAATAATGTAAGGAAGCAGGAAATAAGGATGTGAGAATATAAAAGTAAACCATAACTTACCATGGTTAGCTGAAACCCCGAGAGACATAACACTATACTGGACATTAATAGCTGAAACATCAGGGGAAAGCAGAACACGCATTCCAATTTCTCCACGTACGTAATAAGCAAATGGTGATATATTATGCATTCTTTGAACTCCTCGTATGTTTCAAATGATTTTCTCTCCGAAAAATTTCCAAATATCGTTTCTAATCTATTTTGTAAAATCTTGAACTGTCCGCCTACGTGTAGAGTCAGTACACACAATAAATTGTCAAAACAGCAAAAGCAAATTCCTGAATGCAGAGCTGACATCACCTGTAAAGCAAAGTAAGCATTTTTTTCAAACAATAATGATCCTGGCTTTCAGTTACTCTAGTAGTTTCAACAATATGCTAAAATTTGATACAATGATATTTGAAGTACATATATATCTGTAGCATACATAAATGATTCGGAGAATAATGTTGAAATTTAAAAAAAATCTTACATTGCCAGCCAAACATTATCTTTGAAGAGATTTATTCAACAATGACCGATAGCAAGCTAGTTATTTAATTTATTCTGTATTGACACCTGATTTAAAGAAATTTTTATTTCAGTACAATTATTTTAAATCTTACAGTTATGAAAGTTTGAATTATTTTAAATATCTGTTATAAATTTTTTTCTATTTATTATTTAATAAAATAATCTTCCTTTTCGAAAGTATGCTTTCTAAAAGTTAGAGTAAGTTATTGTAAAACTCGTGTCTTTTTCATCACGTTGCACAGAAATTATATTATTTCCCAGAAGTATATTAATTTTTACAGCTTGTGCCGATTTCAACTACACATTTCTTCATTATATTTTATACTTCTCTTATTTACATACCTCCACTCCGAATATAATTTCGTAATACGGTGTCCTAGTTGCGGGTACTTTGAACAGTCTGAAATGGAAAGGGAGAATTCTGTCCTCCCCAGTTTTTCCAATGTTTGCTGTTACAAAATTTTCTTCTTATAATTTCTTATTCGACTCGAAAAGGTAAGTACTAGCGAAATGTGAAAAATTGTAAAAACGTACCAAAGAGAGGATACACTGTGTATACAACGGCTGTTCCATAAATAAAAAATGTATAAGAACCCATATATAGCATGGATTTTTTATTGAGTTTATCCATGATTCTTTTCTCAAATGCGTTGTATTTCTTGCACCAAAAGTATTTCTGGCTCCGTTCGAGTAACCACGTTATCTCTGGTTTTCGCACAGTAAACGTGATGGCCTTTACCGTTGCTATTAAAAGAGGTATTGCCGTGGAAGCAGTGTATGTTGCTTCCTATGAAATTGTTTCAAGACTCACGTGAAAAAAAGCAGTTGACAATGGTAACACAGGCAAAAAATAGTAAAATAAGACGAAAGTAATTTAATTTACTTTTTGTTTAACGTTTAAGGAAATACAGAAAATTTAAATTAAGTAAGAGAAATTTAAATTTAATCAGAATTAAATATTTCTTTATCGAGTTATCACAAGATACAATTACAAAGAATAACAAAGAATAAATTTTACTATTGCAACAAAGTTGAAAAAATAATAAATAAGCACGGTTATAACATTTATAGTGTAACACTGTTAAGCAAACGAATATTTTTTCACTTGTGTCACAATGTACAATAAAAAACTGTTACGCAGAAATCGTCATTTGTACGCACGTAAAGATCATGTCGACAATAATAAAGATCAATCGATTGGTTCGTTATGGATATAGAAAGAATAAATAACATATAGAAATAATTGACCCGTAACATCAACTTCTCTTTTCTCGTATAGACTGTCCAGAAACCAATGATTTTCATGAGGAACCGTGTAAGCTTGATTGAAAAGTAGTTTGACTGTGCCATTGCCATTCTTGTGTCTTTACTGTTGTCTTTTATCATTCTTTCTAGAGTGACTATATGATTATGTCTTACCCTGACATAACACCTCTATCATTAGAAACGTCACTCATATAGCCTTTTTTATTATTTTCTCTTCTCGAAACAGCTATGTGCTATTTGTACAGCAGTTGATGTTCGTCGTTCGTTTTGTGACGTTCTAAAATTTTAAAATTTATAACGACGATTTTAAAATTTATAATTAATATTCTTCATAATAGTTTAACAGATTCGAGTCATTTCGTTGTTCCGGTTATTGTATTTTTATTGGTATTTGGTTTTATAAGAAAGATTTCGACGTCGATCAAAATAGCTATGTTTTAAGACAACTGAAGAATGGAATATGTAAATGAAACACAAAAAAAATATATATATTTTCTGAAAACATGTGTACACGAACAGAGATTAAATAACTGATATTTTGTGTAATATCAAGCTAGTGCATACTACAGAATATTATTAAGTACTTGGATTTTCTTTCAATTAACAGGCTTGTTTTATTCTGTCATTTTTTGTACAGATAAGTGTACTTTGACTTAACTGAAACTAAATTCTTTCTATTTTCGAATATTTATATCTCTTTAATAAATTATTGTTAGGGGTTACATTTAAGAGTTACATATCAGAACTATTTTTCAATAACGTAAAATATGACACTGCAGTACTTAGAATCTGTAAAGAGTAAACGAACAGTTTAAATTTTCATGATGTTTTTATAATTTCTTAACCAAATCTGATATAATAATAATGATCGATCACGTTTGGTATTGTATTTTTCTATTCCTGAGGAATGAAAACGATTACGTGTATTTTGTATAAAGTAGACTCTCATCTACACTTTTTTGATTTAAATCCTTTAGATTTTTATTCACAAGAATATTTAAAAAATTTAATTTATTTAACAATAATACTATTGATAAATTCGAAAACGTCAAATATTTTGCTGCAAAAAGAAACTATTTTCAGCAATTTCTTTACATTTTTAACATTCCTACAATATTATATATCATAATCGAAATGTATCTACATTTCGAAAGGAATTCGAATTTATATTTTTCTACTATTTTAATTTATATTTTAATTTATATTTTCTATTATCTACTGAGTTGAAATAATGCGAGAATTATTTATTGAATTGAATGTGGTGGTACTTCACCAATAAAAAAATATAATGATCTAGAACAGCGCTTGATTGAAATTAGGACGAAAAATTTATTATATATTTTATTTTTGCAGACGAACTTAGTGACTTGCATACGAGGTCATTTATTTTAATAAATTGTTAAAAATTATGTTATGAATTAATAAATTAATAAATTACTACAGCCAGATATCGCTGGTAGACTACACTTTGTAATTTCTTATTTCTTCTGTTTTGTATGTAAAGAGAACACAACACTCGAGTGAAAATAATCTGGCATTTGTTGTACAAGAGTTAATAAAAATGATACAATGTATGAATGACTCAATGACATATTTTCTTATCAAGATTTTATATTTCAAAATATTCCTTCACTTGCCTGTGTCCTGAATATATACGTCGTCTGTATATGTACCTCATCGATCATAGCATGTATTTTGTTTGCCTGTGCCTCGTTTGTGACGTCACTAAAACGGTAACGTATAATTATTAACCTGGAAAAAATCAAAATATTTTTTACTCTTCACAGATGAAATTTGGAGCGAACATAAAAATTATATTTAACTTACTGTTAGTTGTCGAAAACGACAGAGAAAGGATATTTTTCTTATAAAAATGAAATAGTTAACTGAAATGATAGTTTCTACAGTACTTACAACGAAAAAATGTTGAATATGATGGAAATTAATTTGAGAAGTGAAATCACATTTAATTATGAAGAAGCACTATTTCACTATGTTATATTCGTAAGTTACTTCATAATTTATTTTCATTAAATTAATAAAACTTACACACACACGTTTGTTTTAGACCAGAGTTTTTTATTTTTTGATCCGAGTTAATCTGTGCGAAACGCGCGCATTCACAAGTTCGTTAAACTACACACAGCGCCAACGGTGAAATATGCAACATACTTCCTATGATTCTCGAACCTAATCGATATTTCTCGATCTTTAACGATCGATCTTTAAGTGGGAGGAATGGCGGAAGAATGCACGCTTCGTAAGACGCTGTAATTCTGTAAAGAACAAAGTGTTATCCAGAAGAATTATGCAGAAAGAGGTATTATCCAAAAGTTCTCAGGTAAAAATATAAATCAATAGTTATTAGATTTGTGTTTGTGTATTGAATTTTTGAGATAAATCGTGCATTTTTAGTTTCAAGTCAAGGTAAGATTTAACCAAACAATTATTACATATAATTTTCAACAACTGAAGAATTTATAGCATATAAACATTTAAACAGAACATACTATGCTAAAAGTTATTTATAATTTTGTATTAAAATTTAATTTTGTGACCTTATAATATAACTACCTTTTTGTTATATGTATACATAATATGCTTTTACTTCTATTGTAACATTTTCTAACCTAACCTAAACTCATACTATGTAATTCTTAATGATTTCAATACTAAATTTAACAATAATTCATTAAAGATGTATGTATTTAATGGCTAAAATAATAAATCTATTGCGTAACATAAATTTAAAATATTGACAATTTTTTATCAGATGTATGAATATTTTTGTTTTTTTTAAAGAATTTCTCATGATTGTGTATTTGATTTACTAGAGCTTTTTATTTTTTATTCCAAGCGTGAAACGCGCGATTACAGCGCCCCAGTGGAGAAATACGCAATATACTTCCTACGATTCTCGAGCCGAATCGATATTTCTCATGATCGATTTTTAAGCGGCAAACATGGCGAAAAGGAGCACGCTTCATGTGTAAAGAAGGAAGCGTTAGCCAGAAAAAAACACTTAGAAAGAAGTATCGCCCAAAAGTTCTCAGGTAAAAATATAAATCAACAGTTGTTATATTTATACTTGTGTATTTTAAGATAAACACTCTATTACTTCCATTTATACTTCATTAATAGTATCGTTTAATTAATACGTATGTGTTTGACAATTCATTGAGCAATAGAATAAGATTTTGAAGCTTTTCGTGTTGATTTTTCTTCAATCATCGATTTTACTCTTACTGCTACCTTGTCTCGTACACTTTTTTAATAGAATTTGAAACTGATTATGGTTTCACTTTTACATATTTGCCTTCATTTGACATATTTGTTCTAACTTTTGGTTTCTTTTTGTGCAGGTTATCCCTTAGTTGCAAAGATAGCATAGAATGCATAGATGTCACGATCGTTAATGAACATTCTGGTGAATTTTCACGGAAAATTGGTAATATTTTATTCATTCTATAGGTAATATTTGCAATTTAGAATGTATAAATGCATATTTATGTATATTACAAGAATGAAAATGGAAAAGATTAAATTAATTAATATTTTATTTCAAATATGGAGATTGTAGTAACTTAATGGTATATATTTTTAAATGGATACATATTAGATTTTGATTAGATTTGATTTTGATTAGTTGTATTAGATTTTGATTTATGCAAACATTTTTGAATATTTATAATACATGACATGATATATTACTATAATGTGCATACTCTATTTTAATAACCAACATTCAGAATACAATTCAGAATACAATTTCTACAAATATTTCTGCAAATATTGAGAAATACTTTATAATTTCCAATTAATATCTTTAATGCATATTCAAATTTATAATCATTTTTTAGAGAAATAGTAATATTTTTTAAATGAACGTACTCTTTGCCCTTTCCTTTAACGTACTAATCAGCCTTATTTTCAGAAAATTTTTGTGACTGCGCGCAATGCAGTTAGTAGAGTCAGTATTTGTTGCGCAATATTTTAATATTTTTCTGAGCAAAATGGCTCTCATTAAATTAAATAATCAGTTCATTTAAATTATAATTCGCGAAATTAGAATCAGTGAGTCCGCCGATTGTTACTTAAACGTGCGTGTTAGTAATCTTTTATTTTCCATTTTTTTGTATTTTTTCTTGTTCAATATTCGTTTTCGGTATTAGAGTCAGTGCTCAAGAGGATAAGGCCTCTCCCGGAGATCAAGATCGTAAGTAGTTTTATATATTGTATCCCAATTTATTCAATTTTTCAAATTTGACAACAAAGTATAATATTTGATGTTTGTTACAGACGCTTCACAGCATCAACTTTTGCATTTTTTTGAAGAAAATCCAACGGTGGCTCTAAAGCCAAGAATGTAAGAATATTTCATTATCTCCAACTTAAGATTTTGCTTCATTTTTAAATATAAATCCTAATGTTTAATGTTTTGTTACAGATCTTCTACAGTTTCCACTTCCCCTAAGAATCTTATGATGCTTCAAAAGCTAAAAACGTAGGTACTTTAGCATATTGTATTTAAATTCTATTCTTTATAGTTTTTTTTTCTATTGAAGTCGAATGTAAAATTATAATTATAAAATAAAGATATTTCAAATTATTAATCCCAATTTTTATCATTATTAAAATTTAAATTTTCACAAATAAGACTGTCTTTAAAAATAAAATGTTTTACGTTTTAAGAAATTTTTCACGGCGTTCACTTCCACCATGGGATTCTATAGTAGTTCTACTTGATGAGGACCTCCATGATAAATTTCCTTGCTCCAGTGTAGCATCGGTGATAACGTTTTTCACACCAATCCTGTGAGTCGCATGCATTTATGTACCTCTGGTCACTCAACCATGTCGTAGGACGAAAGGTCTGAATCGGCACGGGTGACTGGTTGTATACGTAGAATTTTTAATGAGCATAGTGACCACGGGTATTTTTTGTACTCGTGAGTAGTAACAATTTTTTCAGATTTTTGTATTAGATTAGGATAGGGCTTCTTGCACATCGCGATTTTAACAATTAGAATATATACATTTATTTAGTAATTATTTATAAAATCAAAATATCTTCAGTATAAATGTTTGCAAAGGTAAAATATCCATATGAACATTCATATGAATAGATAAATTATAAATATTTACAAATAATTATTATTAAAACGATTCAGTTTGAGCATTTCATAGTAGAGAAGACGGATACCATCCGACTTCGTTGCTATGAAAGATGCAGTTATTACTTATTAATACTGATATATTTTGTGATATATTTTGTTATAATAATTAATAATTAATATTTGTTATAAAAATTAATAATTTTCGATTTCATCTTTCCTTTTATGATAGTACTGAATGACTGAATTAATTGAGTTTTATAATTATGAACTTCAGTAGAATTTGAAATATAATACATTAGAATTTTTTTCGTGGAAAAATGTATAAAGTTTTATGTGCAAGAAGATACTTCGTGACAGGAAGATTTTTGAATCAAAGCAACAAGTTTGAACACTATTTTCGCATTTTAGAAAATGTGCTTTGATGAAGAAGTCGCCTGAGATTATTTCTGTTAATATTTAATTTGAAGTCATTTGTTTGATTTTAATTGTTTGAGCCAATTATTAGTGAAATGTTGTTCATAATATCCTTTTTAACAAATTAAAGTCTTCTTCATTGTCTTTATTCTCAATTTCAATAATATCCGAAAGAGTAGAGTCAATTTAGTTTGAAATAAAATAATGCAACAGTCCGTTAGATACAAATTACATAAAATAATTATTTTTTTAGTTCAGGATTTTCAGGTTTAATCCCTTCCGTGTTCATTGTCAGGATCTTACTCACGTGCCCAGGTGCTACTTGGGTGGGTGAAAGACATTGGGCACGATGACTATAGTTTGTAATTTTATAAAAAATTTCTCAGCGACTGACAGTGTGTTAGCGTATCGTGCACGACGTATTTTCCGCATGTATGTGTGTGGTTAGGATGTGGAATTGCGTCGTTTCTATTGTTCCTTTCATTATAAATATTTAAAATATTTGAAATACAAATTTATTATAATAATACATATTAAATACACTGTAATTGTGTATTATTAATTTTACTTCTAATTATATAATATGATACAATATAATAATTACGAGTTAACNTTGCACTTGTAATTTCTATAAAAGTTACATATATTTTTTTCTCAGTTATTAATATTTTACATATTACGGTAAATATAAACGTGTTTTAATCACGTTTTACGCAATGGTCACTAGCTATTGTCAGTTGATTTCAGGAAAATGGTACGTAAATTAGAGTGTGAAAGTTGTGTGTTAAGCTCGGGTGTCGGAGGCGCCCCGGGACGTTCTCTCTAGTTTAGGTCTGCGCCCGGGTGGTATGTTTGAGAACCGTAGAGTGAATGTGTTGGTGTGCCTGTTTTGCCATTTTTAAAATATAGGGCGACTGGTTAGGATAGGTAGCTTACTTTCTGGTATGCCTGTGTTTAATTATAAGTAGGTAGGGCCGGGCAGGTTGGCACAGTCTCTGGTCGCGTGTCCCCTTTTCGCGTGTCTAACCTGTTTCAGGAAATCTAATTTGAAAAATCGACAGTGAAATTGGTACAAGTGGAGCATGCCTTGTTTCTGGTTTTACTCTTCGATTTTTTGAATTTAGTATCGCGGTCGCGGTCGCGGTTAGGTCGCGAGTAGGTCTCGAAACGAACGTTTATGTAGGTATTGCTCGAGCACGCACGTGCGAACGGACAACGGTCACTATGATCGATGGTCGTCCATGTGTATTGTAGTCAGTTTTCGCGATTTATTTTATTATTTCACATTTATAAGTTATTTTTTGATTTGCGATTAGAAAGACTCGAGCTAGATGTAAGTTTCAGCGGGCATTGCGCTCGAAGAAAGAAGAGGCCCGGCAAACTGCCACGAAGAGGGTCACAACAAATGGCTTCTCATCTTCTGGATCATTTAAATGGTCCAGAGCATGGGAAGTCATTCTCGTTACTACTTTGTCACTATGCTCTTTTAGTATTTGTAGTTGTATTTTTTGTCCTTTTTCATCACTGTTCATTATTGTTTTTGGCAAATCACGGTTTTTCTTTGTAGTGTTGCGAGAAATTGATTACGGTTTAAATTAGAGTTGCGAAGAAATGATAATCGTGTTTGCTTTAGAGTTGCGAATTATGATACCGCGATTAACTTTTGCAATTTTGATTTGAATTTTTATAGTTATTTAGTGTAAAATTTATCTTGCTTTCTATTGTTTTAAATTAGATTACAGAGTCATTGCTATTAATTGATTTTACAGTGTTAGAACATTTAATGTAGCTTTTGTCCATATTGTTAATAATAATTTTCATTGAATCTGGTTTTAGAGTTAGTGTTGCGATATTGTTCCATCGCGATTAGTTTTCCTCTTAGTGTTGCGTAATGAATGATCGTGTTTCTTGAAGTAGCGTTGCGTTTACAAAATGTCCAAATTCTTTCACTGAATTCGTGGAAAGTTGTTCCTGCTCCTAGATCACCTGATGCAGCTATAAGAGCTGTACAGAAGTGATCATTTATCAGCAACCTCCATCATGGTTGTACTGGACGCGTTGCAATTAGTGCTACGCATTTTTAAACATGAGTGTCCAACTTAATAGCGTTGCGTACTTGATAACATGATATAAAGCACTCCCCGCATTTGATTTAAAAAATTTTCTATTTCACAATTAGTGCTAGCGAGTTAGTGCTGCGAAACAAAATACGGTTTCTTTCTCGGGTTCATATCAAATGTAGATTTGACAATAGCCCTTCTGGTTATTGTATTAAGTAGGAAATATTCTTTCAGTAGCCCTTTTGGCTATTGTATCGCGATTTCTTTTTCAATGGCTCTTCTGACTATTGTTTCATATTTTCTTTGTCAGTAGACCTTCTGTGTTTACTGTGTTTTCTTTTTCAGCAGCTCTTACCACTGCTTATTACTGTTTGTTACTGAAAATACTACTAAGAAGTATATATTTTTTATTAGCTATAACTTTGTTAAATTTTATTATAAATTTAATATATTCACATGTAAGAAAGTGTAACTGATTTCATGTGACATATATGAAATAAAGTGAAGAAAGTATTGCAATGTAAAAGTGAAGAAAGTATTACAATGAAAATTTGAAACATATTGATCAAGATATTGAATGTTTTGCAAACGTATAGTAGAAGAAGTATTTATTCATAAATTTATGTTTCAAGTTAGTAAATTTTTGTTCAAGAAAGAAGGATGGATGGGCCGCGAATAGGGCAATCGGTATTACTTGATATAATTACTAGTTGCATTATTATATAGCTAAACAATTAGTTATATAATTAATACAATTATTAATTATATGGCAATTAATACGAGCTGATTGGCTGCGATTTCGGTTAGATGTTTGTGTAGATGTATATTCATCAAATTAATGAAAAACAAATATTCTGTAGTATTTGGCATATGGGTAACTAATTCGTAATGGAGATTATTGTATGGAAAATATTTCATCCAAATTTGTACATTTTTCGTACAAGAATATTTTAAGAAGTCTAGGATTAATTATTTCGTCTATAATGGTTATATATAAATGGAGAGGGTTGTTTTTCCTTCTTTTCTTTAATTCCTCTCATATCGAATTTTTGATAAAATTTATTTGTGTTAATTTTCAAAAATTCAGAATGACCAACACTTCGTCTTCATACTATAATACTAGGAGCATTTTTGAAAAAGAAAGTATCTTCACATTTCCACTTGTTATATAGTGTAAAAACAACTCTAACAAAAATCCACGATGTATTGTGTGAATAAGGATTTCATATCACTGATATATCATTGTACAATCTTTTCTTCCACAAAATCATAATAATTAAACATTAACAATTTTTCGACGTACGATTTTCAAATTTGCTATATATGTTGAACAATTCGATGAAACTTTAATGAACTTTTTTTATTTTTAAGTAAAATATTTATCGAATTAGCAAAAGCTGAGTTTATGTGTATAATTTGTAGTGAAGCTGCAGACTGCAATAATTGTATGATGTTGAGAATAAACCAAGAATAAGAATGTGATCGCTTCGAGAGAAAACAGTGATCGAAACGTAAACAATTTGATACTGTAGATGTTCGGGGATCGAATCGAAAGCAGATCAAACCCAAGTGCAACTCAAACCTTGGTATTATTATATCAGATTGGAAAAGTTAATTGAAAGTGCTTACAGCAATTAAATTTACTTACTTTGGTATATGTTTCCAATGATACTATGAAGAATCCGCTAGCAGTTAAGCAACAGGGTGTTTTGGATCTCAAGATAACCAGTATCATATCTCTTCGTAACATTTTCCCATATTTGTCCATTGGCAGAAGCGACCATAAGCTCCCGTATACAGCAATACCCACGTTCGAGCTATCTCGTATCAAAGTGTCGCAACTATAAGTGAACATCAGCAATTGATAGATACTACCCATCATATGAATTGTGAAAACAAGCCGTCTTGTAAAAGGAATGCCGCTCTATAAAAATTACACCACGGATGTTATCATGCAACAGCAAAATTAATTACAGTAACGAACGAAGAAATGAAAGAAAGTAACGGCTGATTTTGTGATGTTTTTAAAATTTTCATGAACACCATTGAGAATTATAATTAACACTTGTATGTTTTATATATTTTTGCGCAATCTGTGTGCATTGTGTGCATTTTTGTAGCTTCAAATTTTCCCTGAATGCATGAAAATAATCCACAGTCTGATAATGAACTGTCAACTACAAAAATGTTACTTCTTTTTATAAGAATTTTATATAATTTCATAAAGGAGAAAACGTTGGAATTGATTATATTCAATACAATACGATAGATGTCGCAACGTCAATAGAAGTATTATAATTCCTTGAAGATTAACTTTGTGAAAAGTTGCATTTATTATGTGACAGATAATACTAACCGTAAGAGCTAAATAACCATCGAGGCATATTAACAGGCTGAAGAGCGACACTTGCCAAAACACAATTAAGTTAAATACATGCTCGAGCGATTTACAATACCCAATGAGCATTTGATGTTGTTGAATGTAGGTCTTGAGCCTCCTATATTTATACATACTGTACGACGACTTTTCCGAAACTTCATGGAATTTTTCGAGATCGTTCGTGTTGCACATATTTGCAAATCTATATTGCAAGATACGGAACTGTCCAGCAGTGTGCAGATTTATTATGCATAAAATATTGTCGAAGCAAAGATAGCACACGCCGACGTGATACAGAGACAGAATCTGTAGAAATGCAAGATGTTTGTTCTTCATTCCACTTATGTATTGCGGTTTATACTTAGAAATATCCAAATCTCGAATTAAGTTCATAATAAACAAAGCTAGTCCGTTTTAATCGCTTTCTAGCAATTAAAAAGTTCTTAATACCTCTAACACGAACTGCATTTCAAAATACGGCGTCGTATTGTATATTGTGTTGTTTAGCCACAAATTAAATGGAAGTATTCGATCTGTGTCGTTTTTCCCGATATTCTCTGAGAAATATACAAATATATCAACGAGTTCACGTTTAATTAAAAATGTGTCAGTTTTTATATAATAATTCGGTTAATGTGGAAACGTTTCACCTTTAATTGGTTCTACGAGGTAAGAGAAAACTGTTCCCTGAACGAGGCAGGTGAAAATACAAACGTGAGTCGTACACGAACGTTTACACTTATCCACTATCATTTGCTCGTACGAGTCGTAATTCGAGTGCCAAAAGTTCGTTTTCGCGTACTGTATCAAGCCGATCAGTTCCTTTTTATATGTAAGCGAAACCAAAAATTTAAGTAAAACTAGAACGACGGTCACGACGTTGCACATGGTGTATACAGTATCCTATAATTAAATAATTAAATAACAGTACATGCACGTGTACCACGCTGGATATTTTCCGTTTGCACTTATAGATAAAAATGGCTAGTTGCCAATCGCGATTAATTTCTAAATTCTAAATGATCTGAAATTTTTTTCTCCATTGTGACGTAATGAAATTGAATTTTTCACTCACGCTAAAGTCACCCCAACTAAAATACAAATCCCTTGTCACGATCCCGACGGCGATGACGACCGCGCTGACCGAATATGTTGTAGCAAACTTCCTCCGGCGTTCTTCCGCATAGTTCTTTGACAGCCAAAAGCCAGCTATTCTCATGTAGAAGGACACGATAGTGATCGACAAATCCCTCGTTTTTTTATCGATAGAATTCATCCGGAATCTTCCACGGCAGTGTGCCCCGATTGCCAATTTCTAAACGAGCTCTCGCATATTTTATTGTCCATGCTAAGAGTGACCGGTATATTATTGTCTCGTTCTTTTTGCATACTATGTTAACCATGTTGACAACTGATTATTAAATGTCACTGTAACTGCTATTCTCTAGTGCGAAGAGAGACGAGCAGATGTCGGATCAATAAATTATGTACGATTTCATACATGTACGGTGAGATGGCACTTGACATATATGCTTCCGACAGTTTTATTGTTTGGAAGTACTTGAAAAATACGGTGGTTAACTATTTAGTTGCTGTTCCATGGAAGAAGATAGAATTTTTGCAATTTGCTATTTGCAGGTTGTAAAGATTTGCTATTTGCTTTGTAACTTAACAAATTGTTATGACATTGTAAAAAAAGAAAAATATTGTAACAATCCGCTTGATCTCATTTGAAAGTGTAAAATTTTTGACAGTCCTCAGTTCGTTTTTCCCATGATGTAGCATCATGTAGCGAGTGAGAAATTAAAAATACTTTACAATTTTTCACAAATTTTTCAAAAATTGTAATAATTTAAATATCATTGAAAACCTGAAAAAATTCTTTTCGTAACTGAATGAAGTTATAACTTAAATATTAATTATTGACAATTCTGAATTGTGTATGATATAATTTTATTGACTTAAATTTAATGCTTTTGAATAATAATAAAGTGACATTACTTTGATCTTTCAAGACAGTCGAGTATTTATTAATGAAGAGATGTTTTGTCTAAAGCCAGTTAAAAATTCAAACAATACGAGGACAGAAACAAATATCATCATTAAGTATCACTGATGTATTATGTATGCTTCAAATGCTTCAAATGTTTGCATTATGTATGCTTGTCGCACTTGATATTAAATATGGAATCACCATTTGACCATCTTATCGATTATTTTATCGCCAGAAAAAAATTATATGGCCGATGATTATTCAGAGCATAAAACGTTTATATATTATTTTCTGTGAATAACATTTAGTGTACATTTGAGCAGCTGTTGGACAATATGTATCTCAATTTGTATGTGCTTAATTGTGCTATTGGATAATACCTATTACTTGGTGTCAAATGTAAGACATGAAAATATATTTATGAAATGAAATAGAA